GCTGCTATCGATGCATAACATACTATTATTAGTCTATACACACACACACACACACACATATATAAATTGAATTTTGGGAAACTTTAACGGTGCTGCCAACTTTGGAAAAAGTCATCCCATTTTACTGTGTTGACTTGGCATTGTACAGAAATGGACAACCATTTTGGTCTAGAAATGTTAATTTATTTATTTTTTCCATGTGTGCAGGGGTAACACATCATACTAAATATGTAAGGTCATATCTACGTGGGTTTGATTACAGAAACTAATAAAGTATTCTAAAAATAATGAAAAAAAGGAATAAGATAAGACTATAAGAGCAAGAAGCAATTTAAATATGTTCAGGGACCATTTTCATCTCCAGAATTAAGGATTATTTTGATGTTACATCATTGCCTTTTCTCTTTTACTTTTTTTTAGTTTTTTTTTGACAAACTATAATAGTACACAGGATCCTAATGAGATAATTAGTAATGCGAAATAGGAAGTAAAGGGCTAAAGGTGTAGGGAAAGTAGGAAGGGTGGTGGAAAGATAATAAGGGAGAGGAAAAAATATGAGAAACTGAAAAAATGGAAATAAAGTGTTTGTAAATGGGGAGGGGAGGAGGGGGTGAAGGGAGGGCAGGGACAAGGGAAAAAATGAGAATCAAGACCTATTATGTAAAGGTACAGAATCCCAATGATGAATGTAATTGTATTGAATACCTAGATTGTACCAATAACCTCAATAAAAAGAAAAGAAAAGAAAAAGAAGTAGATGCTTAGGTAGATTTAAAGCTTTCTTTTCTTCTAAATACCCATTACTTGTTTTAAATTCTGCTAAATCACTGTGTGTTCTGTATCCCAGGTATTTTGAAAGATGTACATTTATTTTCAATTATTTTGAAGTACTTCATTTTATCCTCAATCTTCTCTCTGACGCATATGTAATTTAGAAGTTTTTGATTTTTATCTCCTAGTTTTGTGGAAGCTTTTCAGCTCCTAAATTCCACTCAAATTCTAATAGGGCCTGAGCATACTTTGTATGATTTTTATTCCTTTACATTTGTTAAGGTGTATATCAAACTCAGAATCTGATTTGTGTTGGTCAATATTCCATGTGATCTTAAGAATATGTACTACACTGTTGCTGGATGGAGTATTCTCCAATATTAGATGACTTCAGTTGGTGGAAGATTTTTTTTTTTTGGTTTTTTGAGACAGGGTCTCACTATGTAGTTGAGACTGACCTGGAACTCACTATGTAGCCCAGGCTGGTCTTCAACTCACAGCGATCCTCCTAGCCTCCCGAGTGCTGGGATTACAGGTGTGGTGTGCCACCACGCCCGGCTTGGTGGAGGATTTTGTTGTTTTCTTGCCTTTATTTGTCAGTTTCTGATGCAAGAGTGTAATTTCTATACATAGTTTTAGATTTATAATTTTTCTTTTAGTTTTATATTTTTTCATGCAGTTTAAAGCTATATTTAATAGAATGAACATTAAGGATTATTGTGTGTTCATGAGAACTGGCTATTTCATCATTAGTTTATCCTTGTCTGTACAATTTTCCATGAGCTCCCGAAATTGTGATTAGTCTGAAATTGGTATAGTCTAGTTCTGAACCTGGAGGATGCCAAGAGGGCTGTCCTCTGCCAGGTGGGCCAGTGAATGCCTCACTCAAGCTTTATGGCTGGGCCTTCTCTCTGTCATCCTCTTATACAACATGTACAGTGGTGGCAGTTGTGAGAGTTTGAGTTCTAGGGTTTGGAGGAGGTCAAGACTTAGTACCTTTTTTTTAAAGCAGAGGAGTCACTTTTAGATCAAATCTTTAAGTAGATTTAAAGCTTTTAGTCACCAAGGATGTCTCATACATTTAGGTCTACAGTCTGTGGTTTTATTGGACTTGTTTGAACTTACTTTATACCCACAGTATTAAGTTTTTTGCCCACATCAGGAAGTTGATATCGAAGTTGTGAAACGCTTCTTTGGATTGCCTTTCTGACTCCCTCTAGTGTTCAAAGTTCCTGTCTTGTACTTTATTGATTTCATAGATCTTTCTCTCTCTTTCCTTAAAATATAGCTTCTTCATTTTCCCCCGAGTCTTAGGTAAAGTGATTGTTGATATAGTTGGGCAACTATATCCCATACTGGAACTGTTTAGTCATTTTTGTGTGGTCTGCACTATGAGAACTTGGCAGGGTTTATGCAGGTAAAACTATCACATATATGAGATCCTCAAAAGCTGGCCTCCATAGTGTTTATCTCTTAAAGTACCCCACACTTAGCCATCAGAAATTCATCAGGGACCCTGGAGGTTTTCCTTCCCTGTACTGTTTGAAGTTATTCTTTAGGTCTGCTCATTTCTTTGTTCTGAATTTTCTAATGTATATACAATATATAATTTCTCATTTAGTGATCAGTTCAGTGCATGACCTAGTTTCAGGAAGAGAACTTGGTCGTTAAATAAGGAGTGTGTATAGAGCACATATATAGATAATGAACCTTTTAGAGCTTTCAATGATACAAGTAGCCCACTGTGGCACATATGCCATAGGTTCACCAACACTGCTGTTGGGATTTTGAGGATTTTTTTTTCACTCGTGGAGAAAAATACTTCTATCAGTTTGGATCTTTCTCAAGATGCAAGTGCACAGTGTATTTTTGAGGAGTATAACTGGGCTGGAAGTTGTACTCAGATTCAGGAATTTGAACTCTTGAAGGCAAATTGAGCTTTTGTTCACTAAATTAGTGAGGTGTATCCCATTTCCACCCTTGGATGCAAATAGAGGCAATAGAATGAGTGGATAAATTTGTGAAAGGATGAAGATTCTCAGGAGGTAGTAGGGCTTGGGAGGTGTTAGAAAGCAATTCAGAATATCCTAGCAGCACATGTGAATGTGAGTTGAGACAGAAAGAAAATACCAATCAAATCTTAAAGTAAAAGTTTGGAGTACACAGTATTATGTGAACTCATTATAAATTGATTAAAGATACCCTGATGATGTCAGTCTCATCCTTTTGAAAATCTGGGATATTTTAGGGGTCAGTGACCTTTGAGGATGTGGCTGTGAACTTCACCCAGGAGGAGTGGGATTTTCTGGATCTTTCCCAGAAGAATCTCTACAAAGCTGTCATGCAGGAAACCTTCAGGAACCTGGCCTTTGTAGGTAAGGGGGATATCATTCCTCGAATCAGGCACTTTACGAACAAATATTCTTTGTTCATCAATGCTTTTGAGAGATTTTTCAGTATTAAAAATATTTTGGCAAATAAAATGGAGCAAGTCCATACTGCAGTGTTAATTTAGAATGTTATAGTACTTTATTTTTTGAGACAGGTTCTCAGTATGTAGCCAAGGTTGGCCTGGAACTTGTGGCAGTCCTCCTGCCTTAGCCTCCCAAGTGCTAAGATTATAGGCATTTACCACTATATCTGGTGTTTTGCAATAATTGATGATGCAATTAATAATGATTTTTCTGGATCTATATTTTAGGATACAAATGGGGAGAGCAAGCAAATGAAGATGTGTACAAAAGTCCTGGAAAATTTTTACGGTAACTTCTACCTACAAGAGAAAGCACTGCCCCTAATAAAATTTGGCATGGTATCAAATATTTGAAGAAAACAATACAAACCTCTCTTGAAAAGAAGTGAGAAAATGATCTAAATTAAATATAAGTTGAGCATCCTTGTTCTACAACTTTAAAATCTTAATTGCTCTAATATGGTAAATTTCTTGGGCACTAACTGATTCAGTTAATAGAGTTATGTGAAATAATTCATATTTAAACTTTGGTCACATCTCTAAGATTTCTCATTATGTATATGCAGATATTTCAGAATCCAAAACCCAAAACGTGTTTGCAGGAATGTTGGGTAAAGAATACTTACTCTCTATTTAAGTGTGACCTAGACAATCATTGTTGGCAAAATAATTAGCTTGCAGTCTTCTAAACCTTGTGTGCATATCACTCCTTTGAAATCAGCTGTGTCCAGGCATGGTGATAAGCATTCAGTATTGGCCTGCTCTTACAAATTATTCAGATTGTAAAGCTTGTACTTTTTGTCCCAGTGTTAAAATATAACTCTAATAATTACTAATAATTATAAAATCATTAATTCATGATCAGTATGCTTCTTTGTTACAGAAATCAGATTGTGAAGAGTGAATATAAAGAGGAAGGTAGTCAGTGTGGAAAAATCTTCAGATCCCTGAATCTTCAGTATCCGGATCAGACTAAGAAAACTGGACTATATCCATGTGGCAGCCATGTGTATATGGAAGTCCTCATTGGCCATTTATCCCAAAATGTGCCCCTCAGACCTCACAATGGATACAAACCATATGAGAAGCAAGAACATGTAGAGAGGCCTTGTGAATACAAGCAACATGAAGCACCCTTCCCCCCTACCCAGTCCTTTCAGAATTTTGAAAAGACATACATTGGAGAGAAACTACATGAATGTAAGCAACGTGAGAAAGCCTTCAGGTATTGCAGTTACCTAAAAAAACATGAAAAAATTCACACTGGAGACAAACCCTCTGGTGTAAGCACTATGTGTAAGCAGTGTGGGAAAGCCCTCAGTCACTTCCATGCTCTTTGTGTACATGAAAGAACTCACACTGGTGAGAAGCCCTACCTGTGCCAGGAATGTGGAAAAACATTTGCATGTTGTACATCCCTTCGACTGCACAGAAGAATTCATACTGGAGAGAAACCTTATGAATGTAAAATATGTGGGAAGGCCTTCAGGTCCTCAGGTGCTCTTCATGTACATGAAAGAACTCACACTGGTGAGAAGCCCTACATATGCCAGGAATGTGGAAAAACATTTGCATGTTGTACTTCCCTTCAACTGCACAGAAGAATTCATACTGGAGAGAAACCTTATGAATGTAAAATATGTGGGAAGGCCTTCAGGTCCTCAGGTGCTCTTCATGTACATGAAAGAACTCACACTGGTGAGAAGCCCTACATATGCCAGGAATGTGGAAAAACATTTGCATGTTGTACTTCCCTTCAACTGCACAGAAGAATTCATACTGGAGAGAAACCTTATGAATGTAAAATATGTGGGAAGGCCTTCAGGTCCTCAAGTGCTCTTCATGTACATGAAAGAACTCACACTGGTGAGAAGCCCTACATATGCCAGGAATGTGGAAAAACATTTGCATGTTGTACTTCCCTTCAACTGCACAGAAGAATTCATACTGGAGAGAAACCTTATGAATGTAAAATATGTGGGAAGGCCTTCAGGTCCTCAAGTGCTCTTCATGTACATGAAAGAACTCACACTGGTGAGAAGCCCTACATGTGCCAGGAATGTGGAAAAAAATTTGTATGTTTTACTTCTCTTCGACTGCACAGAAGAATTCATACTGGAGAGAAATCATATGAATGTAAAAGCCTTCAGAAGCACCAGTAGCTTGCAGAAACAAAAGAACTCATGGTAGAGAGCAACCTTCTGAATGTAATCAATGTGGGAAAGCCTTCAGATGTCCCATGTACCTTAAAGTACATGAGAAAATTCATATTGGAGAGAAACCTTATGTATGTTCCTACTGTGGGAAAACCTTTACTTCAGTTCCTTTATATTGCACAAACGAATTCACACCGTAGACAGTCCTTATAAATACAAGCAATGTGAGAAAGCCTTCAGATGTTCCAGACATCTTAACAGACATGACTGGCTCACTAGAGAGGAACCCTATGTATTTAAATAAAGAGGCAAAGCCTTCATTCCTAAACCCTTCAAATGCATGAAAGAGTCCACACTTAGGAGAAGGCGCATAAAGCTAAGCAAGGTGTGAGAACTATTCGTATGTTCTAGTTCCCTTCAAGTACATATAGGAGGGACCTTTATAAGCAGTGTCCTAGTTGTAACAGAGGCAGGAAAAGAGCAGCGGCCTTAGATAGCAGCTGGTGCGAATAGGGGGACTGTTTATTCATTTGCATGTGAGACACAAAGGGGCTGGGTCTAGAAAGGTAGTTCAGCAGGGAGTAAGGTGAGAACAAAACTTTAAATAAGAGGCAGGAAAATTTGCTCTGAGGAATTTGGAGGTGGACAGAGTAAGGTCACATCTTGGGAAAGATGGTGGTTGTAAATGTCATCAGGCTTCCTGGAACTGAAGTTGCTGGAACAGGATTTACTGTCTTCATTCAAATTTGCCACTGAGGCTTGATTATGCCCAGGATGCTCTTGGAGCTGTACTCTGGCCAAGAGTTGCCTTACCCTCTGGGTGTGATAGTGGTGTTCAATTTTTCTAGTACTCTTCCAGTAATTTAAAAGATTCATACTGGGCACAAACGCCACATGTGTGAGCAATGTGGAAAAGCCTTCATTTGATCCTCTAAGCATTGAAGACAAATTCATTTTTGTATGTAAGCAATAAGGAAAATTCTTCACATGTTCTAGTTTCCTTTAAAGAAATGAAAAAAGTTGGGTGAGAATATGTTAGGTATGCAAAGCAAAGCCTTAACTCCTCTTTGAATACATTCCACTTGTGCTCAATACATGAAAAACACTAAAAATAGAATGGCAAAGACTTCCTTATATCATCTGTCTAAAATGCATAATGCATTGTAGAGAGGATTGGCATCATTTTAGGGTATGGGAAATGTATCATCTTGGTTTTATTTACAGATTTAAATGCATAGAGTATGTAGAAGATTCCCTTAAGTATAATACTTGTTCAAAAGACTTCAGTTGGCCCATGTGGAAGAATTAACTCTGGATAAAATCCTCTGTAAAAAATATAAGTTGGCAGTTACAACAAAGACTTTGAAAGACTATTGAAAATTCTTTGTCCTATGAAATCCTATGATTATAAATAATACAGTATGAAGAGACTGATGAAAACTTAGATAAATTGAACCAGAAGATAACCCATCGGAAGGAAATGTAAAAGACAAAACGTTGTCTTTGTCAGTGGCTTATTGTTAAAAGTTCTTCTCTGGACCATGGGTGTTTCACTCTTGAAAACAAACATAGTATATCTTCCCAAGTGTGTGTATTTTTCCCCTTGACTGAGGATTGAACCGAAGGTGCTTCTGTCACTCAGTATATATTTCTATTAATATATGTTGATCTGTGTATTTGTGTATCATTGTTTATGTAAAGGTATGTATACTTTTTTGGGGGGTGCTTACTGTGGATTGAACTTGAGTTCTTGTACTTGTGGGTCAGGTGGTGGCACCACTGATCTAAATCCCTGGCCCTGTATATATACTTTTGACACAGGATCTAGCTAAGTTGACCAAGATGGCCCAATACTTTTTTGCTTTTATATTTATTTTATTCTAATACAGTGCAAGTATATATTAATAAAGAAAATATAAAAGCTGTTCTGTGAAAAAATGTCTTAAAATTATTAGAGAATAACTGGTAAATAAACTATCATAACCTTAATATATTTTGATTTGATAATCTCAGCTCATTTAATAATACTGTGCCTTTTTTCCGTGAAACTTTCAGTATCTTACATGGTATAATTTTGAATAATTTCTGCATAGTTTACAATATCTATTATGGTTTTTTGTCCTTATTTACACTTTTAAGTTTCACCAGAGAGATGATAGGATATTAATATGTGTGTTTGATTTATTTCACTTGAGTATGTTTTCAAGGTGTATGCATTTACCTAGAAATATCTCAACTTCGTCCTTTATGGCTGAGTAGTACTCCATCTTATTAAAAAAAAGACTCAGTCACCAGTTGATGGGAATTTGGGTTTTCCAAGATTTAGCTATTACAAATTGTGTCACTATAAACATGGGTGTGTATATATTGCTGTGGTATGATACTTTTAATTCTATGTGGAAGATTCCCAGAAGGGGACTAGCTGGGTCAAATGGAATCTCTCACTCTATTTTTTTTTTTTGGTGGAATTTCCTTACTGATTTCCACAGCAGTTGGTTTTCCATACTATTTTATACTCCCAATAGTGGACAAGTGTTCCTTTTTCCCCATAGCCCTGCTGCTATTGCTGTTTGACTTCTTGGTTTGTTGTAGCCATTCTTTCTGGAGTGAGATGGAATCTCAGCATTTTAATTTCCACCTCTCAAATGACCAGTGATGTTGAACATTTTTTCTACTTGCTGTTTCTATTTCATCTGAGCACTGTGTATTCAATGCCCATTTAAAAAAACAGTTTTATTGATACATTTTAGGTATGCAATATGACATTCATCATTGGAAATTTGCACCTTTACATAATCCATCTTGGTTCTCATTTTTTCCCCAATCCCCTACCCTCCCTTCAACCCCCCCAACCCAGCAACAAATACTTTGCATTTTTTTCTTTTTCTCATTTCCATTCCCTTTTCTTTCCCCTATCCCTCCTACTTCCCCTTCCCCTTTGCCCCTTTTCTTCCTATTTCACATTATCTGTTACACATTTTAGTCCTTACTTGCACTATCAGTTTCTCACGCCAAAGAAACTTTGGTATTTACACTTGTGTCCTATTTCACTGGAGTATCGCCTCAATGTGTATCCATTTAGCTATAATGTCTAACTTCTCATTCACTACACATACTAAAAAATGCTTGTGTGATTCTTACCAAAGACCACTAGGACCATCCCGTACGATGGAATGAACTATATTTATAAATCTACACACAAAGCAAAACTGACGTCACACAGAATTCTCCATTGAATTTTTGTGCCTTTGGCATTGGTTTTAGGGAGGTTTACTTTTTAGTGTAGTGAGTTGTGTCCTGTTGGATGCACAGAGAGTTGGAGTGCAATCCTATCATTGTTAATTGTACTAGATCTGAATGGAAGGCTACACTAGTGTAGGGAAACAATTCATTTGTCACAGTGCAGACAGGAAATTTGCTCATTTGTATGATTCACAGTGTTTTGGCTTACTAGTTTTAGGACATATTTACAGGATGCCTTTGTGTTGATCCATCCTAATCACCGAGGAACATATCCCATGTTGGATGTGAGTGATAAGTATGACTTACCATTATAATGAGTATTGTGGTGACCTGCTTTTAACTTTCTTATATTGGACATTATTGTCAATAAATACATATGCTGTTCAGCTTAGGATGCTGTTCAGCTTACACTTCCATGAACTCATGGTGAGAGGATATTACTATAAGTTCTAAATACTCTTTTATTATACCTAAACCAATTAAGTCAAACTGAGCCTTCACGTATACTCAGATCACTTACATTAGCTTACCATTGAACAAAATCCTCCAACAGTGCTTATTACATAATAATGAATTTATATGTAATTCATTGTAAGTGCTACACCATATGCTATCAGATACTAATCTTCATGATATGTCAGTCTGATATCACTACTGCCCAGCATCATGAAAATATTAAAATAACATCTGTCACACTGAAACATCTTTGAAATTCAAAGGCTTTTCCTGCTGGATGCATATCATTTTCTTATCATTGTAACATCAAAAAAAAAAATCAAACCATCAAGCCAGGCATGGTGGTGCATGCCTGTAATCCCAGCACTTGGGAGGCTGAGGCAGGAGGTTCACTATGAGTTTGAGACCAGCCTGGGCTACATAGTTCAAGGTCAGTCTCAACTACATAGACCTTGTCTCAGCAACCCCCCCATTCAAATAATCAGAAATTGATCTTTGTCCTTAGCAAAATATCTAATACTTTGAAAATCTCTGTGTATCTATTGAGTGTACTATCTTTAGGTAAACTCAGAGTAGAGGCCTAGGATGAGGTGGAGTAACATGCCCATTGCATTTAAGCTTTTGGTGCTCAGATGATAAGATTCTGATGGTAATTTTGGAATGCCATTATACCAGCATGGTAAACTGGATATGTACAGAATTTAGTTTGAATGATCTTAGTACCATGTGCTCTGAATCTCAAGTTGTGAATCTGAAGTTGAGTTTTGGTAATGCTGGTCCCTATAATATTTTTAGAAGGAAATAGGTTATTAACAACTGATGTTTATAAGGTAAAAGCTGGGAGCCGGGTATGTTGGTGCTCACCTGTAATCCCAGCACTTGGGAGGCTGAGGCAGGAGGATTGCTGTGAGTTCAAGACCAGCTTGGACTATTTAGTGAGTTCCAGGTCAGTCTCAACTATAACTACATAGTGAGACCCTGTCTCAAAAAAAAAAAAAAAAAAAGCTGGGCTGTCTTCACTTTGGAAAGTCATTTTGTGAGTTATGGTGTCTCCTTGTGTGGGGGCCAGTCATGGCCCACTGGCGTTTGACATTTGAAAGATAACTTCTTTCTCTACAATCAAGGCATTGACACAACGTGTGGTCAGGATGTTCCTAATTAACATCTGTTAACATTTGTTCCTTTTCAAGGGCTCTGCTTGTTAAACTTGTTTTTTGACCCTGTGATGGGAGAAACTTGAAGAGATAGTCAAACATCTGATGGTATCTGTAGGAGTCAGGTGCTTCCTGTTGATGTGCCTTTAAAAGGAGCTGTTTCTGTGAAATAAATCAGACTTCTCTTGGTCTCCACCCAGTCTTGAGTGTTCTTTACTTTCTTAATC